TTCTGGCTCACTTGGGAAACCAAATGAATCTTTTTAACTCTTTATCCATTTCTAAAAGGATTTTATAATTCTTTAGTATGGGGACGTTTTGGGCTAGAAATAAAAATTTCTGTAATATCATCATTTTTATAGTATTTATTCTACCCATTAAAGAAAGTTGTAGATTTTTCCACTTTGCAATATCTTTCCTAATTCCCTCTAATAGTTTATAATAGTTATCTTCCAGGATTGTGCTAATTCTATTTGAGAGTGTTATTCCTAAATATTTAATCTTCTTCACTATTTCTATGTTGGTTATCTTATATATTTCTCGATTTATCCTGTCTGTACAGTTTTTTGTTATTATTTTAGTTTTTTTCAAATTAATCTTTAGTCCTGCTACCTCTCCAAACTCTTGTACCTTCTTTAGTAGTTGTTGGCTTGACAATAGTGGATCTTCCATTATAAATACTATATCGTCAGTGAATGCTAATAGCTTAAATTCCTCTCCTTTAACTTTCAATCCTAGTATTTTGTTATCCTCTCTTAACTCATTATTTAATGATTCTAATTTTCCTTGTAAATATTCCTTTATTTGGCCCTTGTCTTGAATCTCCTGTTTATATAAATTTGGATAGTATTTTCCCACTATTTCTTTTAGTTCCTTTATACTATGGTTTAATATCCCTTTATCATTCCTTAATGCTATTATGGTATGTTTCTCTCTTTCCTTCCTAAGTCTATAAGAAAGCCATCTTGTTGGCTTATTAGCATTTTCAAAGAAATATTGTCTCGTATATTCCATTTTTCTCTCTATTTCATGTGTTAATAAAAGGTTCATTTCATGTTGCAAGATCTTCAACTTATCTCCCCTTTCTCTTTTACCATCTTTTTTGAATTTATCTTCTTGTATTTTAATTTTTTGCATTATGTTTCCTTCCTTTTTTTTCCCTCCACGCATCCTGACCTAGGCTCCACCCTCTTATGTATGCTTTAAATGTTTCCCATATTGTCTCTATAGAGGTTTCTGGTTTGTCTATTCCTTTAAAAAAAAATCCTTAATTTCTATTTTTGTATTTTTAATGAATTCTTTATCCTTTAGGAGTCCTATATTCATCCTCCATCTATGTTTTTTCCATACCTCTTTAAAAGATAATAGAATGGGATTATGGTCTGCAAATGTTTTTGGCAAAATATCTGCCTCTACTAATTCCTGCAACCACCCTGCTGTTGCCCATGCTATGTCTATCTTAGACCATGAGTTGTGCCTGGCAGAATAGAAGGTGTAATCCCTTGTCAGCATGTTCCTAGTTCTCAAAGTGTCCATTAAATTGTGTTCCTCTGCCATGTCCATAAAGGTTTTTGGCAGCCTTTGTCCTTTATTTCTTTTTCTTTTTTTGTGATTTCCTGTCCATACTTATATCATAAACTGCATTATAATCTCCCACAATGCATATATTTTGACCATCTATTTTATTTAACACACCATTTAATTTTTTTAAAAAAATATTTCTTGTTTTTGATTCGGCGCATATATGTTTACAATTACACTTTCTTTACCTTGTCTACTTATTTTTACTGCTACAATTCTTTCCTCCTTGTCAGGAGAAAGTGACTCTTTGACATAAATCACAACTCCATTTTTTTCTTTTCCCCCACTGCTCTAAACTCTTGTCCCAATCTTGGAACACTTAATTAATTAAGTGTTTATTATCAGTTTTTTATATGTGTTTCTTGCATGCATCTCTGGTTGAATTTTATATATTTGATGAAATATCTTTCGCCTTTTTTGCAAGCTATTCAGTCCGTTAGCATTTATTGATAGTATTTTAAAATTCTTGGGTCTTGACATTTTTTAAAAAATGTTTTAATTAACTGTTTCTCTTGTATTTACTTTTTAAAGTGCTGAGCTTTATTTCTGTATTGGAACCTTGTTTGTATTTGAGACGGATATATCTTAGTATTTCTTTTCCCCTTTTTCTCAGGTTTTCCACTCCCCTTTCCCTGTTCACTATCTGATTTATCTTCCTCATATCTCCTGTCAGGTCTTTCTACCTCCCCCTCTTCTTCTTTCTCTGCCTCCTCTTCTTCTTCTGCGGTGGCGCAGGTGGTTAAACATCTACAAACAGCTGCTACAGCTGTTCGATTCCCGCCACGGCCAGAGTGAGCACCTAGCCCTAGTCCCAGCTCCCACTAACCCAGCGGTTCAAAAGCACGATGTAACATCAAAAATCTGTGAGTAGATCAATGGGTACCTACCTTACATGGTAGGGGGCACCCTTCCCCCATCGAGGGGTTCTGTGGAGTGGTGACGACGAGTGGTGAGGCGGCAAGTGGCAGATGGAGAGCGGCAGGAAAAATGGCGACTGAGGCGCAACATCTACGAGGGTCCGGACTTTGGTGGAAAGGCGGAGCCAGGAAGACGCTGGGAGCGTGGAAGGTGCAGGCGCGATGGAGCCTCAATGGACGGAGCCGGAACCGCACCGGAAGCGCGCCGAGCGCCTGCTCGCTGAAACCTCCACCGGAAAGATCACGGACAGAAGGAGAAAAAAAAGCCAGAAGAAGCCGAGCCGACGAGCCATTCCATAAGGAAAAAGATCGAATAACGTCCCTCCACTGGGTGCTGTTAAGACAGTCCCCACCCCAGTATATATGTGGCCATAGGTAAGGGATAACGGTTATGTCAGATCCGGCCCTCATAACAAATGAGTTTGACACCCCTGCTCTATGGCATTATGCCCCACTGAAGTTTGTCCCATCCCCAAATCTCGCCCTTCCCAGGCTCCACCCCCAAAATCTACAGGAATTTGCCAATGGGGACCTGGCAACCCTAGTGGAGAAGTCATGTATAAACTGTGTTGCTTGCAGGCAGGCAACTGGGCCAGGTTTCCCTGATCGCCTTCTGCCTCATGATTCTGTGCACAAACAGTGTGAATATGTCACCACTACATGTTTCACTCAGCTCCAAGAGGACAATTCTAGACGTTTCTGGGTTCCACACAGAAAGGGCTAAATAGAAGTTCATCTTCCAGCTTTTGGTTGGAACCTGATTTTAATCAACACAAATAAAACCTACTCCTTGATGTCTTACATGTGTCCTTTAATGTGTGGGTGGGACAAAGAAGATGGTTCTGGTCTTTGAAGGGGAATGATTTGAATGGAGGGGATATTTGCATATTGAAGGAATATTAAAAGAAAATAGGAGGGTTTCAACCCAAACACCTGTGGCTTCAGCAAGGAGAGTTCCTCTGGTTTTTCCACTATGCAGTGGGCAACGCTCCTCCTCACGTTCCTCACTCATTGCTCAGGTACAGCAAAGGAAAGTTTCGCCACAGTTTGAAAATAACTCTGATAAAAATTTCATTTTAAAGGAGATGCTTTCTTCTCTTTTCAGGTTCCTTTGCCCAGTATGTGCTGACTCAACCACCATTCGTGTCTGTGTCTCTGGAACAAAATGCCCAGATCACTTGTTCAGGGAACAGCATTGAGAGCTACCTTGTGCACTGGTACCAGCAGAAACCCGGCATGGCCCCACTCCTCATTATATATGCTGATAGCAACAGGCCCACGGGGATCTCAGACCGATTCTCTGGCTCCAACTCTGGCAACACAGCCAGGCTAACCATCGCAAGAGCCCAAGCGGAGGATGAGGCTGCTTATTACTGCCAGGTGTGGGACAGCAGTGCAGGGCAGCACACAGTGATTCAGTCAGGGGAGGAAGCAAGACAAAAACCTCTCACCGATTATTACTGCCAGGTGTAGGATAGCAGCACAGATCAGTGCCACAGTGATACAGACAGAGGGGGAAGTGAGACGAAAACCTCCTGTCTGAAACAGAAATGTTACTCCATCAGAGAACGGTGTCAAGACTTGGCAGCCTTGATCCCTGAGTATCCTGACTCCAATTTCTGACAAAGCACAGTCTGAGAAGAGGAGCCCAGGAAGAGAACACAAGGACGGTCCTGAATGTCACACTCTGCTGGCCACACCAGGGGGTAATCCGGACTCCCTGACAGGTCATCATGGGCACTGCCATGCCTTCCTCTTCCCTTGTAATCCCCCACTTCTTTAAACAGGAAAAAAGACAAAGGCTTTGTCCACATGAGGGGTTTTGGGCCAGGAGTGGGCCGGATCAGGGGCGCAGCAAATGGGCGCGATCCCACCGCAACATCTGGGAAGTGTTGTGGGCCCGTTCCTGATCCGGCCCTTCCCCCGACAGCCCCGCACCAAACATGAACCACCTACCTAGGTGGCTCATCCGGTAGGTCCGCATCACGGCTGGCTGTGGGATCGCCGGCGTGTCTTGCCGCCGGCGCATCCCCGGCCCCCGGCCGAACTGTGCATGCTCACACATGCGCAGTTCGGCAGCCTCCCCCTCCCACTCGTCTCTTCCTCCCCGGCATCTGATCATGCCGGGGAGCAAAGGCGCGCGGCTCATGGGATCCGTGGGATCCCGCCCGCAGCGTCTCTATTATGGTGCGGCTCTAATTAGCCGCACTTTGACCGGTGTTTTCCCTGCCGTGTGGCAGGGACCATAAACCAGTATATGCCCCCCTTTCCATTTGCTACACTTTTTAAGTCATTCCTGAAGGCAATTGTGTGCATTAAGCAGCAATCATGATTGCAAAACGTACTGCCTTGTTTGGTTCTGTTTTGACCACAGGCACTGTACTTTAATTTTGTGTCAGGAGGGCTCCTGGAGGGCCCTCCTGCCATCCAAAGGGTGCGACGCCAGTCAAACGACAACCCCCTTTGGGGCTTTAAAGAAGGTCCCGGGAGCCTGCCAGAACACCCAGCCAGGGGAGGTCCTGCCATCAAAGGGGGTGGGAGGGGCCATAGCCAAGGATGGCGTGCAAGACAGGGAGACAAAGGGAACCTGGGCATGGCTCTGTTCCTTTAAGACCTGAACGGGGAGGGACCCAGGAAATTGAGGAAGAAATAAAGGCTGTAGCAGATGGAAGCCGGGGAGAAATGGTGGAGCCGGGAGATAAAGGCAGAATGAGGGAGCCGAGAGCAGTTGCTCCTATCCACTCAAAACTGCCAGCCCAGGCAAAGCCCGGGGAGGACAGGTGAGAGAAACCGGTCCCCTTGATTTCCGAGGCAACCAGCCAAGCCTTTTCCTCGCCCTGGGCCCCGCTTCCCAGCCCCCGCAGAAGCAAAGGCTGACATTTATTACAGTAATAGACCAGCAGACTAAAACATGCTGACTAAAACATGCCCACAAGAATATGCACACAACCATATACACAGTCTTCCATTAAAATATATTTTAAAAAGCAAAAACGTGTCACTGAATCAACACTGTACCTCGGGAGGCTCTGGCAGCTGCCCTGAATCTGAATCTGGCCGCTCTGTCTGAGGTGTCAGATTCAAGGCCTGCCAGAAGAAAGGAGGCACACCATCCTTCTGACCTTCCTGGGATTTTTTTGGAGGACCGGTGTAATAAATATGAGGTCATTAGAGAAGGGCCAGTGCAGCAGCACATGTCCAACTTGTTTCAGCTTCCCCAGTTGCATAATCATGTATAATATTTATATACTTACATATTCATACGTTCCATGCATATCATGTGCACATTTAATCATCATGCAAGGGCTCCCAAATGTATACAGGTGGATAGAATAATTCATGCACTCAAATTGCCCACACTGGTCTAGGCAATGCTGGAATATCACTGGTACACTTTGTGACCAATAAGCTTTTTCTAAACTCAAGGCTCACTCGGGCTTAGCCTGTTTCTTTACAGCCAGCTCCCATATCAGAGAGGTCACCTGTGCCGTGGCTCCTCCTCATACTGGCTGTTCTTTCAAGCAAAGCACAGGATTTCCTCCTCTGCAGATACACTTCTTTTTGTCTTGGTTGGTCACCGGTCTGATGAACCAGAAAAGGCACCTGGAGTGTCTTCCGTGTTTATAATCCAACAAAAAACAAACACTTTCATTCTGAAACCGCATTCTTGAGTTGCCCAGACTGACCCCTCCACAATCAAAATCCCTGGTATTCTTAGTGATATAATTGTACCCCATTCCTTCTTGACATTCAGAAGTCTCTCATTAGCACTGCTTAACTTACTCCCGATCACAATGTTCTCATTGTTTCTATAACCAACCTGAATTGTATGATGACACATTTCTCCATGAGAACAAATGTGTGTGTGAATAATGTCAGAGTTTTTTTTTTAAAAAAAATCTATACATTTACCTGTATAGAGCACTGGGGGGGGGGGCTATTATTAGCAAAATTGGAAAGTGCAGGTGAGACTCTCTAAAGCTTCTCATTCCTTGCTTTGGTGCTTTAAGAATTTCTCTGCTGCTCCCGCTCTACTACTAACTGGGTAGGATGAAAATGCTGAAATAAAGAGCAGTCTCTTGTATGAGGTAGAAAATCCCCAAGAGTTTCACCCCCCTCCCAAAAAAAAGATGTTCAGGTACAACTATGTTTCTCACTGAAACGAAAGAACTGGAGGATGAAATCTGAAAACAAGTCTAGAAGGCATACTTTGAATAGGCTTCCCTTGCTCAAAAGCCAGTCAAATCCGACTCTAGGGATGTGGTGCTCATCTCCGTTTCCAAGCCGAAGAGCCAGTGCTGTCCAAAGACATTTCCGTGGTTATGTGGCCGGCATGACTGGACATCAAGGTGCACGGAACGCTGTTACCTTCCCACCGAAGTGGTACCTATTTATCTACTTGCAATTTCTTGCTTTCGAACTGCTAGGTTGGCAGGAGCTGGGACCAGAGACGGGAGCTCACTCCGTCATGCGGCAATTGGGTCTCAAACTGCTGAACTACCAACCTTCTGATCTGCAAATTAGCATCTTAACCACTTGAGCCACCACAGCCCCATAGTTTGAATACCCAGGGCCAAAAGAGATATAACCAAGACCACAGATGTCCTCCGGTCTGTAGAAAGTACATTGCCCACAAATGAGACTGGGCCTGGAGCCATGGTGGATGAAGACAGAATTTAACCCTTCAAACCATTCTCATGTTCACTTCTCAAAACAGGGCTCCCATTACTGTTGGAAGTAGCTTTAAAGGGAATGAAGTTGTGGTCAGAGTGTGACCAATGGAGACAGAAAGACAGAGACAATAACTGGGTCCACCATGCTGCTGGATAACTGTGTCCCTGAACATCTTTTCCCAAGCAGTCCTGAAGAAAAGTGAGGCGGGTCTTCTACAATCCTGTAGACATCCTATTTCGCAAACTGGGCAGGCAGGGCTGAGGGCTACAGCTTACAGCTGTGTTGACAAGTGGCCAAGAGAAAAAGGTACTGCCCCTTCAGTAGAGACTGTTGATGCAATCCTAAACTTCTTTACACATAGTAAGTCCCACTGAATACAATGAGACTTGTTCCCCAATAAGTGAGTTAAGGATTACAGCCTAAATATGTGGAAATCGGAAGCTAAAGTTTTTCATGACATGGAAGTAAACAATATCACCCAGTATTTGGGACACGTCAAATTGATATTAAAAGGTCAGCTAGATGGACCATGGTAAAAGTTGGCAACTCTAGCCTGCATTCAACTCTATGTGTGTGGAATTGTTGCCCTGAGAAAGTTTGGGGGCTTTCCGAGGAAGAGAGGGTCATTCCCACTCCCTGTTTTTCTGCAAGGGTGTCTGCTTCCTCTTTCCTTTATTTAAACATCTGGAATGTTGCACTTGAAGCATACAGTGAATGATAGTCATCTGTCAACCATTCAGTATTCTGAGTGTATTGTGTGTTTTGGCACCAACTCTGGAGAAGAAATTATTCATTACATTTTGTCTGTGGCTGAATTGCAACCGAATGTGGCTTTTAAGATGGCACTGTGTACTGTCTACTGACATGATTGGCTCTTCTCCTTCTCTACATGAACAGGTAGACCAATCAGAAGGTGGATGATTAGCATACGGGCCCATACGAAAAAGGCTGTTTTCTTTAGGAAGGTGGTATAAAGTCCAAACAGCCAAGGGGCATTTTTAGTGCTTTTCTTTTCCAAGAAGTCTGACAGCTTTTCATCATGTTTGGGGCATTTCTCCTCCTCCTTCTTTTGGGGACATGGTACACAGGTGAGTGCAGAGGAAATGTTCTTTTTGCAGCCAGTCCCTTGAATGCAAAAAAAACAGCACACATTATCAGTGTTTTTCTTTCCCCAGGTTCCAATTCCCAGACTGTAGTGACCCAGCAATCTTCCATGATGTCTGCATCCCTTGGACAGACAGTTAAGCTCTCCTGTTCTCTGAGCAGTGGGCAAGTAACATCCTATCTCCAGTCCTGGTACCAGCAGTAACTGGGCAGCTCTCCAAACTTCCTAGTCTATTACTATAATAGCCCTGGCACAGGCTCTGGGAACTTCAGTCAGTTCTCTTCATCCAAGGAGAGCTCCCGAAATACTTGGCATTTAACCTTCAGCAATGTCCAGGCAGAAGATGAGGCTGACTATTATTGTCTTGTATTGTACCACCCTAGTAGTGTGTTCCACGTCGATGCAGCCCTATGAGGAACTGAGACAGAAACATACAGCTGAGATCACCCCCTTCATTCAACATCAAGTTTATTGTTGCTCTGGCTGAAGTACTAAAAGAGTGACAAATGAATGACCCAGTCCTATAAGTTTGGTTATCATGCTTCAGAGACCCAGCAACAGCATCAGCCCACGATGGCTGGAATTTTGCTCACGTCTGATTCTAGACCAGATCCCACAGAATCCTCCATGACAAAGTCTGAGGAGAGCCAGTGCTGTATGGTGGTTGGAGGGCAGGGCTGGACTAGACCCTGGGTGGTCTGTCTTCAAAGCTTTGGACCAGGGGTCGTTTCGTAGAAAAAGAGCTAGGGGAACTCATTAGCATAATTCATTAGCATATGCCACACCCCCTGACATCACCGGAAGTGTGTCATAAGGCCACACCCCCTGACATCACCGGAAGTGTGTCATAAGGCCACACACCCCACCCCCAACGGTCCCAACCGCCGCTGCCGGCCTTGCAGCTCCACTGCCGAGCCCCATGAGGGGCCCGGCGGTGGACCTGCAACGTCATGTGCCCCGCCCCCGTACCTCACCTGGGGGAACTGCGATCCCCCGCGTTCCCCCCCGAAATGACCTCTGCTTTGGACAAACATGAAGTTTCCTAAGTGGCCTTCACCAGTCATTCCCTGGAAAGACCCACACCTTGTTGAATTTAGTTACACTGTAATAATCTACTGGGCCCTGACCCTGATGGCCTAGGCTAACCCAGGCTCATCAGATTGTGGAAGCTAAGCAGGGTTAGCCTTGATTAGTGGTTTCATGGGGGACCACCAAGGAAGTCCAGGGTCGCTATGCAGAGGAAGGCAATGGCAAACCACCTCTAAATGTCTCTTGCCTATAAAACTCTGCAGGGTCACCATAGGTCAGCTGTGACTGGACGGCACTTTCCAACAGCAATAATTTAGTAGACCGGAAAATCCAGGAAGTGAGCGTTTACAATAGCACAATAGCCAATGATGTATGGACCCTGCCTCTCTCAGTGCTGTTGTGAGGATCAAAAGGGAAGAGGGAAGACTCATGGTGTTCTCTTGAGGTCTTTGGGGGCTGAAGAGGATAAAAAATTGCATGGATGGACAGACAAACTCTGATATCTGCAGCCTGAGAGGAAACCACTATGTTATCCCCCATTACTATTATTGTAGGTGACCACTGTGCTTATCTTACATACCTTGGACCTTTATATAGAAGTATCAGACACTAGATATGTTGCAATTTTAGACTCACTTTTTCAGTTTTCTCTGACCACATATATATCAAGTGATAACACATTTCATAAATCTTTTTTTTTTTGGTGAGTATTTTGTGTGTGTGTGTGTGTGCTTGTGAGTCTGGAAGTCATAGTGACTTCTGGTGACCTCTAGTAGGGCTAGGATATTTCAGAGAGGTGGCTTGATATTACCTGCTTCTGTGTCCTGGCCCTGGTATTCCTGGTACTTGCCAGGGTCAGCCCTGCTTAGCTTCCGATATCTGACAAGACGGGGCTTGCCTGGGCTATCCAAGTCAGGGCAACGCAGTTCATACCTCTGGTGGACAGGGCTCTAGAATCTAGAGTCTAGATCATGATCCCTTATGCTGTAACAAACCTGTTAAGTCTTCAAGCAGTTATCAAATTCTTTTTCACCACATGGGGGCGCTCTCCACCTATGCTGTGCACATGAAGGCCAGAGGAAGAGTCCCAATTCCGAAACAGCCGAACTGCTGCAAACTACACAGCTCAGTTTGCAGAATATGGGGATCCAGCCATTCCTCCTAAAACCATCTTGTCCTTATTCGATCCCACCTAACAATATTCACTGCCAAAATTCTCCTTTCCTTACTCTTCAGTCTCATCCCCCAAATTCTGCCCCCCCATCTCCCTACAGAGGTTTATCAGAAGATGGCATAGTTGGGCAGTTTCCTTACAGGCAACACCAGTAATCATAGTCTGTCCTCTTCTCTGGGCACTGGCATTGCCCCCCCCCAGCAGGATTGGGTCTGCCCGCCCTTCCTCCATGATTTGGCATGCCTACCGCAACCATTGGTGGAGTTAGGGTTGCCGCCTTCAGGTGATGGCTGGAGATCTCCTGGGATGACAAAAAGTTTCCAGGCAACAGAGTTCACCTGGAGAAAATGGCTGCTTTGGAAGGTGGACTGTATGGAATGTGCCCTTATACCCCAGTGAAGTCCCTCCCCATATCCTGCCCTCCCCAGGCTCCCCTCCCCAAAACTCCAGGTAATTCCAAACTCAGAACTGGCAACCGTAGGTGGAGTTGGTGACTTGGCCAGAAGGCAGGCAGCAGTGGCTCCCTTCTTGCAGGGGAGATGGGCCTCTAGTTGCAGGAGAGAAGCATTCCATACCCCCCCATGTGAGCTTCTGCCTCTGTCCCCACCCCTTGCACAGACCTTCAGGAGAGGGGGGTGAAGGAATGTGAGCCTTTGCCTCAGTCACTTTCTCTCCCCCCCAGCTTCTCCAACTTCCTGAAGAAATGAAATCTGTCAGTGTCAGAAGTTTTTCCACACTCCTGTATATTGGAATTAAGTCTGCTATCATTTGGAAATATTTAAGCACTGATGTAGTTGGAGATAGATTTTAATTAGTAAAGTTCTGACTGCACATGTTTACAATATATCACAAATAGAATGGGGGAGGAGGAGGAGGAGGAGGAGGAGGAGGAGATGATGACAATTAGAGTGGCCCATTCTCCCTGACATTCAACCTTTCTAAGTGCAGGGATTTTTGTACTGAAAATTATGAAACCCTGCACTGCCCCCAGCTGTATCCTGCAGCATCATAAATAAAGATGAGCTTTTCCAGTTACTCATGCTTATAGTACAAATGGCTCCAGAGAGACTGCTTGGTAAAGCTGTTGACATTGGCTCTGTTGGGGAGCATGAAGACCAAAAGACTGCATAAAGAACTTACATGAGAACTTTTGCTGTGACATGCCTGGTTTTCAATTCATACCTTTCAAATAAAGAATAAAAATGATCATTGAGCCCCCATGAGACATCCCCCTGACATTGACTTGTTTGGGTTTAAAATATCGATTCATAGCTATACAACTTGTGAACATGTCACTAAAGTATGATTGTATCGCCAGATTCAACTTCCATTGTATTTTTCTTCTACCTTTACTCCTAGAGGTTTGGGTTGGCTTACAGCATTCTCACAACAACCCTGTGATGCAGGTTAGGCTGAGAAAAGATGACTGGTCCAAAGTCACCCAGTGATTTTTATGGCTTGTGTGGGGGGATCTGAATGGGGGGTCCCCCGGCTTCAGGCAGTACTTGAATGCTCTACGCAACACTGGTGTTCATCATATATTTACCTACAAAGCTGGGTGGTAGGGCGTTATTGTATTGATAGGGCTTTGCAGGTATTTGGGGGTGGGGCAGAGGAAGACAAATCAGATTTGGAAAGGAAATGATTTGACTGTGAGGGTAGATCCCAAGTTCTAGGAGTTTTAAGTGAGAATTTGAAGCACTGATGCAGAATCCCCTTTTTGCCTCTGGAAGCAGAGCTCAACTGTTTTGCCCATCATGCTCTGGATCTCAGTCTTCCTCACGCTCCTCACTTACTGGACAGGTATTGCAAAGGAAAACAACTGTCTGAGTAGTTTCTGCAGAGATGGCACATCATTTATTTTGAGATATTTTCTTCTCTTTGCAGGTTCCTTTGCCCAGTATGTGCTGACACAACCACCATTGGTGTCTGTGTCTTTGGAACAAAATGCCGAAATCACTTGTTCGGGAAACAACCTTGGGAGCCAGTATGTGCACTGGTACCAGCAGAAACCCAGCAAGGCTCCAATCCTCATTATATACAGAGATAGCAAGAGACCAGAAGAGATCTCAGACCGATTCTCTGGCTCCATCTCTGGCAACACAGCCACATTAAGCATCACCAGGGTCAAAGCAGAGGATGAGGCCGGTTACTACTGCCAGGTGTATGATGGTAACACAAACCAGCAACACAGTGTTACAGGCAGAGGGGGAAGTGAGACAAAAACCTCCTGATGGTAAATCTCAAATACTACCAACTGTTTTGTCACCATGAGTGGGGTATCTACAGAGAGGAAAGGAGAGCAGAAAATAATAATTAAAAAAAGTTCTGGACTTTCAGTTGTTTTCTTGTTTCACTTTTTCAGTTACATCAGAATTTCTATCAGGTAAGGGAAAGGACTGATGAAGGACAAACATAAATCTCTGCATCATGCTCATCTAGAATTTATAACCAGAATGAGTTTACCAAATACTTTATGAGTCATAAAGTATTTGGTATGAGTAGTTAAATATATTTTTGACTATTGTACATTCTGGGCTGTTGAGTCATTGTTTTGTGAGAAAGGTAAAAGATTCCCCCCTAGTGAACTGTAACCTAAACATGTACCAGATTAATTCCATGGCAGTGATTTTAGTTCAGCTTTCCAAAAATAGATATTTGTGTGTGTGAAGTGCCGTTAAGTTGCAGTCAACCTATGGTGACTCCACGGGGTTTTCAAGGCAAAAGGGGGTTTGACATTGCCTTTCCCTGCAAAGTCTTTTTTCATGGTCTTCCTTCCAAGTAGCAACCCAGCTCAGCTTCCAAGACTTGACAAGATCAGGCTACATTATACCATTCCACATCTCAAATAAATATTTACTGCTACTTAAATAATTGATGGTCCCTAGACTCAGGTTTGCGTCTAAGACATGAATCTCTGTCTCCTGATCATACTATGTGTAATGTATCCAGTTCAGACCGCGTGACCGGCTTGGGCTCCACGCGGTCAGGAGCAAACATCGAGCTTCACTCAAAGAGACAATGGACTATGCGGATCCTAGCCTGCGCCAATCAGGGGGCTAGGTTCGCGGCCAAGAGCCTATGGAACTCTTGGCCACTGTAAGTTTTGCTTCTCTCATCCTCAGTTCTTCAGCCCAAAGATGCACCTTTCACTTCTGCTTCTCCATTGTGCAAACTAAGCCGATGACTCTTTATTTTCACCTGTTTGCACCAATTCCTCCCTGTAAAATGTAACCATTGCTGTCTCCCACCCACTGATAACCGGTCATATCTACCTACACCAATGGGCTGGATTCTCCCTACGGCAAGCTATGATTATTAATTTTATATGGTTACAATGTGTTTTAAAATTTTATTGTATTTATGGAAATGTTGTAACCCACTCTGAGCCCGTTTATGGGATGGGCGGGATATAAGTGTGAAAAATAAATAAATAAAATAAATAAACAACTATGAAAAAAGCACAATCGAAGCCAGTGATGAAAAAATAAATGAACAGAAAAGGGGAACAAAACTGTGGAACATTACTCATTCCTAAAGGAAAGTCGCAAAAGCAGTGTTTTTAATGTGGACATGACCCAGACACTATGAAGGACTGCCTGGATGGATCAGACAAAAGCCTTTCAGGCCTGGCATACTTCCAAGCTGATGCCATGAAACCAAGCCCTGGAAGATCCACAGTGCTGCAGGGGGGGTTACTGTATAAAAGTAGGGCCATTTTCTACTCCGGCACAATCCACAAGAGATTCTTTGACTCAGTTTATATATTGTATTTGCTCTGAACCACTGCATATTTGACCACATGGGGGTGCTGTTCTCCACAGACTGAGCAGTTCAACAAAGAGATAATAGCTGATACTAAAATAGTCTAGTCAATAAAGTATCTCTAAAAATCTAACCATTGTTTTTGTGGGCGATTGGTGCTCCAGCCTCCACTTTTCTTTATCTTGACTTTCTAAAATCTCCAGTCCCCCATTCACCACCTTCATCTGCCCATTTCACCACCTCTGTCCCTCTCAACAGGAAGAAGGAGGGGGTAGATAATAGGAAATGCTTTGCTCTGCCAAAGTTAGGTCATGGATTGGGAAGGAACCCAAACTTATTTTTCACCCACCAACTGGCTGCCTTCTGTGCCTTGGGCATGTTTTGTGCTATGTGATCATTCCAAATGTGACAACAGAGACAGGATGATAGAGATGAGTGGGCTTCAGGTTCCATCAGACTGATTACTGGCCACCACTTCAGATCTTCCTCACAACACTAGTCTATATGAACACCAATCTACAGATGCATGGAAGAAATTAACTAGAGGCAGGGCTTTCTCAGTGGTGGCACCTCACCTTCGGAATGTCCTCCCTTTTGAGGCTCACTTGGCACCCAGCTTCCTGTCATTTAATCATCAGACCAAAACATTTCTCTTTACCCAGGATTATAATTGTACTTTACCCCATCCCTTTTTTAACTGGGTGCTTTATAGCCTGCATACTGCAGCTTCTAAGACTACTTTTAAACTTTTGGAATAATTGTTTTCCTGCTGTGACTCTTTGTGGGAATTTTTTTCAACAATTTTATGGATGTTTTCAAATGATAATTTTTATGACATTAGTTTGTAAGGTTTCTATTTTTGTATTGTTTGCTTTAATTTTGCTTACCTTATTTTCATGCAACAAAAACACAAATTTCATAATTTTTCACATTTTGGAGTGGAATGTAGAGAGGAGGAGGAGGAGAAACAGCAACAACAACAACAACAACAACAATAATAATAATACATTGGCATGAGTCAGCTTCTCCAAGTTCCTTTGTTTAGTCTATTGGTCTTTACCTAGAAGGAAAAAAGATGTTTGATTAGAGAGGATGACTCTCTTTGAATCACCAAAGCTTTATTCACATGATGGAGCTCTTCATCTGTCTTGGAAATTCAACAAGATGAAAGAGGTCAAGGACTCCAGCTGAGGAGGAAAGATATTCCAGACTTTATTCCTATGGTCAGCCTCTCATCCCTATTATCTTTAATTTCTGGCCCCATTGATCTCATCTCTGCAGTGTCCGTCTTGGCACAGCCTGGCACAGTTAAATCTCTGGTATAGCATAAATGGGTGATTATGATCCTCACATTTATATGAACAATTATCAATCCAATTTCATGAATCATGAAAGAAGCAGACATAGACCAAGTCTGCCATGGTAATGGGCATGTAGCCTGGGTGAAGTGTACTTACCCCTTTCTCACTCTGAGCCCCCCATGTTTGGGTCCTACCTCCTGAGAAGTAGAGGGCAGGGCTGAATGGCAAAGCATGGCCAGTGCAGAGCGATAGGGGCTGATTGTGGAAAGGGAAATGATTTGAATATGGGGCTGAGTCAGAAGTACTGTAGCATAGTTTTAAGAGAGAGAATGGGTGGCTCTGAGCCAGAAAGTCCAATTCCTTTTGGGGAAAAAAGACTTGCTCAGTTCTCCCGTCATGGTTTGGGCTTCGCTCCTCCTTGCACTGGTCACTTGTTTCTCAGGTACTGTAAAGGAAAGTGACTTTGCTCGAGTACCTCGTCTCATAGATGCTTTGTTGATTTCTATTTCGTTCTTTCTTCCACAGGTTCCTTCGCACAGACAGAGGTGCTGAGGCAGCCACTATCAGTCTCTGTCTTTCTGGAGAAAAATGCCGAAATCACCTGTTCAGGGGACCTCGTCGCTGAAGCAGGTGTGAACTGGTACCAGCAGAAACCAGGCATGGCCCCAGTACTTATTAAATATTGGAATGACGTCTGGGATCCCTCCGAGATCTCAGACCGGTTCTCAGGCTCCAAATCTGGCAGCACGGCCACATTAACCATCTCAAGGGCCAAAGCGGAGGATGAGGCTGATTATTACTGCCTGGTGTGGGACAGCAGAACAGGGCATCACACAGTGATTCAGCCAGAGGTGGAAGCAAGACAAAAACCTCTCGCTATGAAAAGCAGTTCCTTTTTTGCATACAGTCTAGTGACCTGAGGAAGTTCATCTGTGGAGCTGAATGTGCTTGAAAGAAGGGTGATTCATATCAGTGGGAATACTGATTCCTCTCTCAGCTCTGAATTATTGTCTTTTGCACATGTTGGTTTATGTGTGTGTGTGTCACTTCCAACTTATGGCGAGTCTATGAATTAAAAGGTAAAGGTTTCCCTTGCTCGAAAGCCAGTCGAATCTGACTCTAGGGTTGCGGTGCTCATCTCCGTTTCAAAGCCGAAGAGCCAGCGCTGTCCGAATACATTTCCGTGGTCATGTGGCCGGCATGACTAGACATCGAGGCGCAAGGAACGCTGTTACCTTCCCAATGTAGTGGTACCTATTTATCTACTTGAAATTTCTTGCTTTCGAACTGCTGGGTTCCTATTGTTAATAGCCTTGGTCAGGTCTTGCCAACTGAGGGCTGTGGCTTCCTTGATTTACAAAATGTGAAAAGGAAGATAAATGAGGAAAGTTCATCGAACTAGAGAGCTGAGCCTACTTTTTCTGTATTCTCTGTCTGTATCAAAACCTTGCTTCAGGTTTAAAAGACACAAAGCCGTAAGCTGCAAACAGTCTTTATCTGTTAGTCAGGGACATAGATATGTGTGGGTAAAAGGAACATAAGGAGTAGACATATCCATACATAGTTTAGATCAGCCCCTTCCTCTGAGTCAGATGGTACCAGGGAGGGAGACAAAAATGGCAGGGCAGCTTGCCCACTAATGCTGAAGTTAGACATATGGCAGGAAGACATTCCGGGAGGAGAGATCCTCAACCATAGAGTCAGACTCTAAAGACAATGGTAGTTTGACCCCCTGAGAAATTTATTGCATAGGGTTCCCAAATCCCCCCGGGGGCGGATTCCCCCCCTGCTTTTAAGGCCCGACTTCCGCCCCGCGCGGAATCGGGCCCGGAGGAAACCCCACCCCCGTGCGCGCGTCACCCAGAAGTGACGTCGCACGCTGGGGGTGCGGCCACGCCATTTGAGGGGAAAACAAAGAATTTTCCACTCAAATGGCTGCCATTTGAGGGGAAAACTCTTTGTTTTTCCCTCAAATGGCGTGGCCCCGCCCCCAGCGTACGACGTCACTTCCAGGTGATGCGCGCACGAATTGGACGCCGGCCGAGAGCCCCCCGATCCCGGCCAAAATGAATTTGGCAACCCTATTATTGCAGAGTCATGATCTGAATCTGTCCCGTTGACCATTAGCCCCCCCTTTAATCATAAGTCATCTCTACCACAACCAGAAAGTACATGTTCTTAATTTAAAATAAGCCTATATTGCCACTCCTGCAGCCCGCAAACAGTGCATCTCAGCAGTTTAATGAATGTAAAAGAACAGAACTGTGGATGCTAGAAGGTTTGTCCTATATTATGTCCCATTAGTTAACCTTTTCTGAACGCTTTGCTACACTCCTCTTCACTGCATCATAAAATCAGCATCATTAAAACCAACATGAAAAACATAGGCATCCAAGGGGAAGAACAAACAAACAGCATCACTAACAAATGCATTGGCTGTCTAGAAAGGAACGGTAATTCTTGGAGAGCTCCAGGCCCCGCCTGGAGGTTGGCAAGCCTTACACTCCATCAGTCCCAAAGATAATCAGTTGGCAACTTTAAGAACCTGAGGGATATTTTTGGGCATGGCACATTTCTTCCGTTAGTCTGGGGGGAACACAATCCCACTCAAGGGTGACAGGCTCACGATTGCGGCAAACTGGAAATCTCCAACTTCTCCAACACTGTCATCCTGGTATGACAAGATCTGGGATCAGTTCGTGATTAATAAGATCTCTAATATTGTGGACCGAGCACAAAACAGTTCCAGCAAAACATATGATAAATTTGTACGTACCTGGTTTCCTGTACTTGACTTCATGGCTGAAAATAATGTGCTTCTAGGACGAGTTATCACACATGGCTACACTTTTGAGTTTAATCAGACCTCCACCTTACTGTCGAGACTCCTCTTGTGAATCAGAGCAGCAGACTGTTGAAGATGTTCTCTTTTAGACTTGACTCAATTCTGTGGGAATCATAGCTCACATAGCATCTATGTATAGGTGATCAGATTAACAAATGCACTGGCTGTCTAGAAAGGAACGGTAATTCTTGGAGAGCTCCAGGCCCCGCCTGGAGGTTGGCAAGCCTTACACTCCATCAGTCCCAAAGATAATCAGTTGGCAACTTTAAGAACCTGAGGGATATTTTTGGGCATGGCACATTTCTTCCGTTAGTCTGGGGTGAACACAATCCCACTCAAGGGTTAGTGGCTGCTGCAACATAGTCTAAAGCCAAGGCAAACCTTTGGCAGACCTTCTGCAGGCTTTTCAGATTTGTTGGAAGCAGATAGAAGGAGACATTTTTCTACTGGTTATTCAGGATCAGTGTTTCTATCCCCCCCTCCCCCTGTTTAAAGAACTTTGCCTGTCAGATGAACCTTAGAAATTATATGATCCAGTTCAAATTGCTGCAAATTTTAACCCCTTGGGGGAGCTCTTATACTGGAAATTGAGTAATATGATGGGAGAAAATGTTTCTGTGTGGCTCAAAGCTGATGCCCAGCCCCCAAGGACAGGCCTCACCCTTCCTCCTGCCACGGTTTGCTGCTTCTTGTCTTGATTGGCTGCCCATCTGCTAAACCAGAAAGCAGCACCTATTCTGTTTGCTTACCACCAATTATCCTTTCATCTGAAGGCCAAACATTGTTTTAATTTTAGAGCAATGTTCTTGATAGTTCTGTATATCTGCCCAGAAGTACAAATGTCCCTGAGACTTTCCCTTTTCAATTCCCTAATGTTCACTCTCTTACTGTCAAATGTGGACCCCTATATATGAGGCTAATCATGTTAAAAGTGAAAAAAAAAGCCTTTTCAACAACACACACACACACTCATATGACAAATATCTAAAGCTAGTTCTGGAGACAACACTTGGAATGGAGGAACTTCAGAAATGTGAAGTCAAGATTCCAGAAACTTATCTCAATGGAATATATACTGTGAAAATGTGAATATGATCACAAAATTAATCAGGAACTATTTTTTAAATTTTAATTTCACAAATGATGCAAAGAGTGTATATTCCTCCTTTAGAGGAATATGACCGTAAAGACGGAACTACCAAAATACCAAGGTGTCAGGAAATTGCTCTTGCCCTTTATGGACACACAGACCAATGAGAAGACAGAAGATTAGCATCTGGGGAGGTACATGCAAATTGCTAGCCAAGGAACTAGGTATCAGGGGCAGGCAAGCAGTGGACATTTTCAGTGCAAGAGGTCCTGCATCTCCCAGAGGTCAAAAACATTTCCATCATGTTTGGGGCATTTTTTATCATCATTCTGGGGACAAGGTGCGCAGGTGAGCACAAGGGAAACATTTCCTGGGACAGAGAACTTTGCCATTCAAACTAACAATGTTATTCTTTCCACAGTTTCTGCTTCCCAGCCTGTGCTGACTCAGGAATCTTCAATGTCAGCATCCCTTGGACAGACAGTGAAACTATCCTGTTCTATGAGTAGTGGGTATCCAGTGCAGAATGATGACCAGTCCTGGTACCAACAGAAACCTGGCAGCCCTCCAAAATTCCTAGTCTATTACTACAGCAGCCCAGGCACAGGTTCTGGGGACCTCAGTAGATTCTCATCATCCAAGGAGAGTTCCCGGAATATTTGGTATTTAACCATCAGCAATGTCCGGGCTGAAGATGAGGCTGATTATTACTGTGTTGTGCAGTATGAGACTCCTTACACGTTCCACAGTGATGTAGACCTTAGAGGAACCAAATTCTTTTAAAATTTCCTGGTGGCAGCTGAATATATAGAGTAAAACAAAACTGAAAGGACATTTTAAAGTAAACGCAGACCTCCCCAGTTAAGAGGTCATCACACGCTCCCTCTGTGAAGAGAGAGATGCTTTGGACTGGCTTTGTCACATGAACCTATGAAGCTGCCTTATACTGAATCCATCAAAGTCAGCATTGATTTCTCAGATTAGTGGTGACCTTCCAGGACCTCTGGCAGAGGTCTTCATATCACCTACTGCCTGGTCCTTTTTTAAAACTGGAGATGCCAGGGATTGAACCTGGGCCTTTTGTTGTCCCACTGAGCCACAGCATCTTCATTGGCCTCTTTTTAAATCCTACACTTTTCAGTACATGGCTGGGGATACTCTGAATGGTACCTTGGGAAAGGCTTAGAGAAAAATGGCTCTGTTGTACAGGTGGAACCCTGGATTTTTGTGAAAGAGGCTGGACTCATCACATTGAGACACCTGTTATTATAACCTGCGAACTAAATAAATATCAGGATTTGGAAATAATCATGGTGTGACACATCTTTGTTCAAAATATCATAGTATTAATAAAAATAATAATTGTGTCAACCAACTCACGGCAACCTCCAGGCCATCTGGGTTTTAATGCAAGAGAGAAGCAAGGGGGTTTGCAGTTGGTTTCCTCTACATAGCAACCCTAATCTTCCATGGTTGTCTCCCATTCAAATACTAACCATGGCCAACCATGGCTTCCAAACTCTGACAAGGTTAGGCTAGGCTGGGCTAATAGGCTGCATCACAGATTTATAGTTGCTGAAATGTGATTGAATACATAAGCAGAGTGCTTTTAATTTTCTTTCTCAAGTATAAAGCCTCAAGTTGTGTTGATATTCAACTGATAGTCATGACAGCTATTTGTGGGCTGGTTAGAAGGTGGTGGAAAGAGGTTTTGAACTCTTGAAAGTAAATTCTTTGAATGTGAAGGCAGATCTCATGTTCAAAGTGTTTAAGAGAGGATAGCCCAGCCAGAAACCTCTTGTCTTGGGCTTCAGAGGCCATGTAGTTTCCCTATCAATGTGAACCATCCATTGGATATTCCATTGTTCCATATGCATGTTGTTGCATTACTAAAAATTATGTTGCAAGATGTGATGAAACACGCCTGCTTGGCCTACAGACCCTGTCCTGCCCACTCCCTCTATTGGGTTGCCAACTCTTGGAAG